ATAATTGATGGAATTCAAGAGTCAAATGTCCCACCAGTCACTATGGAATGCCCCTTGAAACAAGAAAATAATTTTGAGAAGGGCAATTGTCTTGAATCAAGACGAAAAATTCTTGAAGCAAGTAAAATTTCCTTAAATCAAGAAAAATTTATTAGTTAAAAAATTTTTCTACTCAAATCAAGAAAATTAACTTCTTCAAAATTATACACTTGATTCAAGAACATTTTTTTTTTTTTTTAGAAATTAAAATTCTACTAAAAAATTCGTGAGTCAAAATAATGAAACATGATACATAAATGTTGAAAAATCAGAGGAGAATTTTAGCTACTTCATATTCTCATTCAGCGGCGTTATAATTGCTGAGAGTAATAAGCGCAATTAAAGCAGTAGAATGTACGAGGTATAATACGAAACAAAGTACTGAGAATAATTCAGGCAAGAGTAGAGCAGCAATGGCCAAGACTTGGGCGTCAGAAATAGCCACCAAGTACCACTCCGTCCAGCAAATCTTCTTTTGCAGTTGGTGAGTGTACGCTGAAATAAACCAGAGAGAGAGTTTTAAAGAAAGGAATAAAAAACTAAATAAAATAAAATAAAATAATTTATACGTATGCATATGATGAGAAGCCCCGCGTCTTTGCGTGTAGTGAGGGAAGGTCGTAGTTGGAGGTCGCTTCCACAATCCACTACGGTGTAGTGCTGAGACGAGGTTGAATAAGGCAGTTGATGATAATAATAATAATAATTATAATGTAAGGGATTGGAGGATGACGGTACCAAGAGTGAGGTAAAACGCACTAGAGGCCACAGAACGAAGACAGCCTCTAGTGGGACTCTCTTTCTCAGCTTATACACTGGCATGATGCCGGTTTAGCGGTTTAGTTGGTGCGATGCCTGTCTTGGGGTTTGGGGAAGCCCTCTCGATTATTTCTCATGTAATACACTACCTACACTATGGAGTAGAGTTTGCTGTACTATTTTTGTTTCTCCCGGGACACACAAATAGATAATCTGCCATGCTTATGTACCAGACAGCCACCCAGGACAGGGCTGTTATAACAAGTTTGTTAGGCTTACTTCACAACTTATTCGCAATAACCTCCAACTACACACATATATATATATTTGTACGCATATTTTTGTTCCACGGGATATTTATTTTATTTATTTCTTCCGACTCCATGTTTTCCTCGACATATTCTCCACCTACGTGTCATTTTGTCCCATACAAGCCTACTCCATTCATTATTAACTTAACATTCTCTTCTTAAAATTTTACTTGTCTTTATTTAAATTTTTTATCTTGAATTTTCGCACGACTCATAATGCGAACCATTAGAGAGTGCTTTATGATTGAAAAATTTTTTTCGCCTCATTTCGGCAACTATTTTTATTATTATAGCCTTGTTAGTTCACGAAATCAAGATATTTTGCATGCTATTGTCAAGATAATTTAATAGAGATTAATTTGACACTTTTCAAAAATTTATTTAGTGCAATAAAAACGGAAAAATACATTAAGGTGGACCACTGTGACGATCGAAAAGAAGAGGTGTTTTTTAATCAGTAAAGATGTAGTGATCGTCGCACGTACGGAATTTGAAAAATTTTTATTTTAAAGATTTTTTTTAGCCGGGTTAAAACAAAAAAAAAAAAACAGTAAGAATAGTGAGAAAATTTTCAATCAATCGCCATTTTTTAAAAATAAAAATTTTTTTAATTCCGTTTATGCGACGATAACTACATCCTTACTGATTAAAAAGCAATTTGGGTTTTTATTTTCAGATAATCCGTTTTTTGAGTTATCGACCGACCATGGAGGGGGAAATTTTTTCTAGTGCTCTACGAGATTGTTAATAACTTTGTAATAATTAAATATTTTTTAATAAAAATTTAGCGTAATCATCTTTAATGTACCCTTAATAAAATAAAAAAAAACCCGATTCCCAAATTCCTTTATTTTTCCTGTCAAAAAAATTCCCGAAAATCACCTCTTTTTTTCGATCGTCACAGTGGTGTTCCCCCTTAAATTTCGACTCGGGAGGTCATAATCGATAAATTTTTCAGAAATTCATAAAAAAAAATTTTAAATTACATTTTTCAAAGTTAAAAATTTCTTATGAACTTTTGAAAAATTTTTCATCCCAGTCCGAGCTATCTAATAATTTTTCTCGCATATTCTATACACTCACATTAAGA